TGTCATGCAGTTCTTGGAGAATTCCCTGGATCTTTTGGACCAATTCCAGTTGGGTGATTGACTTATTTCCATATAGAGCTGTTGTAGGTGTATTAGCATGATGCCAATAGCACAACGGTGTATATCCTACTTGACATTATATCATCAGTGACACGCGCAATACGGACATTGATGGCAAGGGCAACTGGCGACTGGAACCCCATCGCGTTCCGCGGGAGTTCAGTTCGTAGCTGTCGTTCATCGGCTCCTGCAGCCAGCCCGAGACCTGAAGAGAGGCGCCTAGAAGTGTAAGTTGAGTGCCAAGCCCCTAAAGTTGCCAAAGGGCCTACCTGTCGAGCATGTACACTGTCCACCAGAGTCTTAATCTGTGGGCACTTTGAGAAGGGAGGCAGCGTTGGTCGACTTCCCGCAGATTGCACCCAAGAGCAATAGCAAGCCGCAGTGCGAGTCCAATCTACCACACGTCAATGATACTGTGCAAGAGCATTGTGGATCTTACACAACGTACATAGAGATATGCATCATGTTTATGGTCACACCACTGAAGATATGTAGCAATCAGTGTCAGTATCTCGACGGCGACAACACCTTCCCCACCCATATGATGCAACGGAGGAAGACGCTTCAACGCTTCAGCGAACAAGTCCGTTCCCGGTGTCTGTGATGTGGGATGTTTTACATCCATGAGCTTTGCCATGGCCATGACCAAAAGATATTCTGTAAACCAAGGAGAGTTGATCTGCTGTTGTCTTGTCTCCGGGCTCTGAAATAGCAACATAAGATCGTCCGAGAAAGATCGTGGGTCAAAGAAATGCTGGCTCACGCCAAGATAGAAAAGGAATTGATCAAGCAAGTGCTGTGATTCTTCCAAAGACGGGAAAGCTACTCCAGCAACATTGTCAACGAGCTCTTTGACCGACGCCCACTGAGGTAACCGATCAGCCCGATATTGAAAATTTGAAGTAGATCCATGGAAGCTGCGGTCACTAGAATGCGACCTGTCAAGAAGCGATCTAACCTGAGACTCGAATGCAGGCCCGGAGGTCAGGTCCGTTGCTTCGTGTAGAGTCAGTTCATATTTGCAAGCAGACCAGGACGAAGAAAGCGATGTCAAGTTACCCGGACTTATAGAAGGATCGTTGTCGGTATATAATAACTCAGTTTGCCTCTGACTGGAAGAACTTCGTTGCGCAGATTGACGGCCTGGGGTCTCATCTGGTACTACTGAAGAATGAAATGAAGAGACCGGAGCCCCTACAGTTTGAGAGCTCAGCTGCTCTTCATAGGTTCGTACTTTTTCCAAGAGATGTTTCACTTGGCTATTTGCCAATCAGCAAGACTAGCCAGATCATACGACGCATATGAACGTACGCTTCAGAAAACCGTCTGCGGCCGGAATGACCGAAAGTGCATTCCCAGTTGTGTTTGATACAAGCACGACAAGGTTTATCACCGGAACATTTTACTTTGCGTTTTCGGCATGTTTCGCATCTGTCCGGTTGTTATCATACATGATCCCCCGCAGCCGGAGATGCAGACGCATTACACACTTACGCGTTGGTAGATCGTGGGCTGGAGCCCGCCATGATTTGCAAAGAAGACCGCGTATAGCTGATTTTGATATTGATTTGATAGCCACATTTCAGTCACAAGTGCGAGGACGTGAACGTATGGATCGGGGGTTCAACCGAGGCTGCGGGGACATCGGCCTAGTTCTCCGAGGGCACCCGCCATCGAAGATAATCAAACATTTCCACCTGGGCATGGTTGGATAATGCAATCAGGATGAGGATGAATTGATATCTGCGTCCGAAGTCCAGTCTTCCCCCGCGAAAAATAAGAGGACTGCCTCCGCCGCTATCTTGGAGTCGTCATCATCATCTTTGCCAGGCACAACAGAGCGCCTGATATTTTCTAAATGCGAGGCAAGCAAGTCCGCAGGCCAGTGAAATTGATTTGCAAATTGATGACAGAGCTCAGCAGTGGCGAATGCATCGAATTCAAAATGACCTTGTAATGTGAGAACGTGGCCGGGCTTGTAGAGGCCGTGGATTGGACAGTTACGGCTGCTTCCGATGTTGAGCCATGGTTCAGGCAGCATCATCCCGGGAACTAGTGTGTCTTCTGGTGAAGATATCACGGCATCACCGTGGATGATCTGAATGCGGAATGGCTGTTCTGGAGTAAACCGAGCTAGAGGCGGGACGTTGGAGACGAAAGCTGGATTCAAGATGATAGGGTGCATGCCAATTTCGTGGCCACTAGATGAACGTTCGACCGATATCTTAAATGAGGATCCTTGGGGCTTGTAGCTTTTGTCACTTGCGAGGAGAGCTTGAGCTATAAGTTGATGTCCAAAGCAAGATCCGAAAATCCTCACCATAGGATAGTCGACATACACCTTCTCAACGAAAGATTGCAAGCCTAGAATCCAGTGCAACTTGTCATATACTGCTGCTGCAGCTTCAGTGACCAGGATCGCATCGACAGGATCTGGAAAGCCACTGGGTGCATTTTCCGTCGACGACCAAGGGCTGACTCGTAAGGACTCGAGATTTGGAAATGACCAACCAACAACGTCGAACGCAGTGATTCTCACACCTAAAGATCTTCGGTGCTGGTGGTATTCGCTTGCATTGATACGATTTGCGGCGGCAGTGAGAAGAAGTTTGAATTGTGAGCTGTACAGTCCTCGCTTAGCGTAGACAGGGTAGCAAGGAATGTCAGTGTCAAGGACAGCAATATGTATAGGACGGACAGACATGTTGATCAAAGCAACCAGTGAAAGACAACGAAGAGGAGAGAGAATGTTCAGATTAGGCAAACGAACAACTTTCCATTTGTCATTTTGTCGGATAAGATCCGAAGATGTCGGGACAGATGGCCGATCTATCGAATAGCATGTTGTTTTAACTAAAGCTCTTTATGATAGCCTTTGAAATTCTTTGATTGGATTGAAACGCTTTAGATGTAGTAGTATATAATCGACGATGACAGTAGGTTACTCTATACAATTGAGATTCACACGGCCTTAAGAATACCGTGAGGGTTCGTTTCTTTCTTTCTTTCTCCTCCCTTGTTTTCAGTCACGCAAAACATTTAAATCCGCTTCATACTTTCAATCAACGCATCGCGTGTGTCAGGAGTACGAGTGGTCTCTCGTATATCCGCGCCGAGTATCATGCCTGCCTCTTGATTGCGAGATTCATTACCTGAAGTCTCAAATGTCTTGTTCGTAACGAACTCATCAGTGAGATCATAGCCTGAGATACTAGGCTTTGAAGGGTAGATTTGTGCAAGTATTCCCCTGCAGATGGCCATAATCTTTTTGCCTCTACCTTCTCAGCGGTATCACCGAGTTTTAGGCGCTTTGCATTCAGGTAAGAAATCAGAAAACGGAAATAGACGTAGCTCCGACGCGGCCGTTTATCTGAGAGGATTTTCAACGGGCGGAGATCAACGTGCTATAACACTATCACCCTATACCCTTCAATTGTTAGTCTGGTCATTTTTGTTACGAGCCAATTCGATTCAGAAGAAAAGAGTGCAATTCAAACCAAGTTCTAAGTACGAAGAAGAAAGGAAAAAGAGAAACTATCAGTGTGCGCGTTCTTCCCTTCTTATACCCTCGCGTTTGTCTCGCTTAGTTCCCGTTTGTCAATTTGGGAAGGTACGAGGACGTGGTTCCTGCCTCGTTTGGCAAGTACGATCTCAAGTACGATCCTTCCTGGATCGTCACAATTTTGACTTGAGAGAGAGTTTTCGACACAAAGAGGCTGGATCAGCTTTGAGTCAACAGACGTGAGGTGAAAAAGTCTGAAATTGTAAGCTGCAAGATCAAAGGATAACTATAACCTTAGAAGGTACCTATATAGGTATGGGTCCGAAGCCTAATTTGGCTTAATGGCATTGTGGAGAGGAACTTTCTTCCCAGTGAGCAGGAGCATATATACAAAACATGTAATCCCAATGTTATGAACCGTCAGTATGCTCCCAGCGTTAGATCCTTAACTGCCTTGGATTGTGTAAAGGTCTAAGTCGCAATATGTGTGAAACTATTCCCCCCAGCATGGCATATAATGTTGGCACTATAATACCGCCTTCCAAATCTGTCCACAAACCACCTCTTCCGCCAACTTAACACCGCCTTAACCCCGATATCTTCGCTTTCTCACGCCTATTCACGGCTACTGGCGTCTACTTTTGCTTCGGGATATCCATAGTCCGTGATCGTCACCAACCTTTGCTTGCTGCTGCCTCAAGCCACTGGGGAAGTATAAATACCTGGTCCTCCCCCCCAACTTGCTGTCTTTTTTCTTTCTTCTCCATCCTAGTGCAAGGGCTTGACGCGTATCAGTGAGGAGACATCCGAGATCGTGTTTTTGCTAGTTGAAAACTACCAACTTGACTGCTTCAAGTGAGCCTTCGGGCTCGCTTGGGAATTTTTGAAACATGCTTACCTCAACTCCTTGACTCTTGAGTCCTCGAGTTAAATCCTTTGAATGTGATGCCATGATGGGTATTTGACTCTGTCCTGAGTGTGCGATCACATGCCATCAGGTTGAGATCTTTGTTTTGTTTATCTTCGCGTAGGGGATTGTGTTTGTATAGATCGTTACCATAACTACCGGTTTACTTCACATATTACTTCCTTCCTTCCCTCTATAGTATGATGAATTGAATACTCTTCTTTGAACACCTGCCTCAGAACATGATGATCTAATAATCTATTCCCATGTAGTAGTTACTAGGCTGCACACTCTATACCATAACCCTGCTATCATTTGTCTTTCTTATACAAACAAAGCATGAACCCACTTGCTTTGATATCTGTTTACCCACGAGTTTGGTCTTCCCTTTCTCAACCTCGGGCAAATGAAGCCTAGAATATCCCTCTATTTATTATTTGTACCTGATTTACCTCCATCACTTCCCCGATAATCAGCAAGAAAAACCACATCTACACACAAGCATAGTCATCCATCTCTCAACCCCAAACCATGACTCCAAGCAATCCACCTCAGCCCAAAAAGTCCGCTGTCAAGCGAGGACGGCCTGCAACAGGCTTTGATAAAAACCACGAGTTTCTACTGCACTGCCTTACTCAATCAGGTGTCCGAGTCAGTCATGGATATTCAGTCCCCCATCTCTAATCTCTCGCTAGCTTTTGCTCAGTTTGTTGCAGGTCGACTACGCTGCCGTTGCAAAATGTGTGGGCATCTCGGAGAGACAGGCCCAACGCCATTTTTATTGGTTGAAGACGAAAATCGCTAGCTATGGGAATGCTACTCTCACACAGGCTAAGAAGCAGGGTCAGGGGCAGAATGATAGCCAGGATGGCCAGGATGGGAACGACAGCTAGCGGCTGTTTCTCACGTCTTCGTCTTGTCCCCCTCCCTTAGTATTTTCGATCATTCTCGCCTTACTCTCAAAGGAAACAGCTTCGTGTGCAATCGAGGATCGACTAGAGTCTCTGTCATTGACTGCCACGACTTAGAATCTACACAATAAATGCACGTTGTTCATCTTTCAATTTCCGCATTACAGCCCTAGCGTACGGAAACACAAGAGGTCATAATCCTGTATGTACTAAGACACTGTTGACGACATATTTAAACCGTTGGCTAGATACATGACAGGAAGACCTCCAGCAAAGGGATAACGAAACGAATAATACTGCCTGAAATGCCACACTACACACCCAACATTAAACACAGCCAAGGCGCTCATCCTATTAACCGAATGAGGGTCGTCGTGATTAACTATCAATTACCGATAAAAGGAAGCGGGATTCGAGCCTGGTCCACCCTGAGGCTGGTACGCCTGATACTCGCCCGTGCTTGCGGCGGGAGGTGGTGGGCTGTAGGAGGTATACTGTGGCTGCGATGCACCAGGTACCGGCGGAGGCTGGTGCGATGGAGGAGGTTGGTGGGCACCGGGAGAGCTGGGATACGGGGCTTGTTGCTGTTGTTGCTGGAACTGGTGTGCGATTTGGGGCATGCTGGCGGCAGGCGGGCCCTGAGGTGCCTCATCGGTGGAGTAGGCCGAGGGTGAGTAGTCTTGCTGTTGGTGTTGCTGGTGCTGGAATTGCTGGTGGCCAGCAGGTGGGGCTTGACCAGCTTGGGGGTACGGAATGCGCTCAACAGGTGAATCATAGACAGAGGTCCCCAATTCTTGGGGGTGATCGTATGTAGATTGCGGACGGTGGCTAACAGGTTGATAGGGGTCGCCGTGGGGTGGCTGCTGCGATGCGCCGGCCTGAGACTGGTTGCGAGGATCTGGGGAGTGAGAGGCTGGGCGGTACGGCATCTGCTCGCTAGTAGGGTATGGTGCGTATGCATTTGCCGGGGCTGGTGTGGTGTCTGGCCAAGTCAAGTTAGAACTAGGTGCCCGTCCGTATTTCTAGAGTATACTGACCTTGAGGCCGAGGGGTGAAATATCGAGGATCTGCCTGAGGAGTAGGATACCCAGCAGGCGCGGCACTAGGATAACCGTACTGTGGCTGGGCAGGTCGTCCATATTGAGGCTGCGCCGGATGGGCTAGCGATGCCTCAAGGAGGGACTCATAGTCGCGACGAGCCTTGATGAACTTTTCATTGAGCTGGGTGAATTCATCTAAACACACGTAAGCCGGAAATCCACGGTGTAACAAACGACTGGCTGGTTACCTTTCTTTTGCGAATATTTTCCAATCAATTCGATGAGTTTTGGCCGAATGGCAAGCGTAGCTTGATAGAGTGTAGTAATCTCTTCGTTCTCTTGGACATTGAGATCTGTATTGCGGGTGCTTAGTAGAGTCAGGAGCTTCTCAACACTCTTGATCTGGCCAAAGACGTCCGCCTCCATTTGAGCCTCCCGCTGCAACTCATCGACAGTGGGGTCTGGGAGTTTCTCCACATAGTTGAGAGGGAAAATTCCGGTCTGGCCTCTCAGAGAACCCTTCCACCAATCCTTGTAAACAGACTCCAGGACTGCAATGGTATCGCCCTTGCGGAATTGAAGCTCTCCTGGCTCGGACGGTTGGAAGTCGAACAGCGCTCTCACACGCGACACGGTCGCTACCGATGTGCCTGAGAGAGCAGGTTGAGTCTCGGCGGGCTCCCCTTGGGTTGTGGCAGCTGATGCCGATGCAACAGCAGCAGAAGGAGCCTCAGCTCGAGGTGCTGCCGCAGAAGCAGCCGCCGGTGTTGCTTTATCCTTAATCGAGAGGGCCAAAGCCATCTGCAATTCCTCCTCCTCCATCTGACGATCGACGTCGGTGATCTCACGCTTTCCAGGTTTCGACGGTGGCTGCAGATTCGGGTCTGTAATATAATCAGTCGCGTCCGGAGTATAGGACGTAGAAAGATACTTACTTGTGGTTTTTAATTTCATGTATGCCTGTTCCATGATGCCAAAATCCGGGTTGGATGAGAACATCTCAGTCCATTCTTCCATGCGCTCTAGAATCTTAGACTTGACTTGTTGATGCGTATTCTAGACAAATAAGTGGTTAACACTTGCCATTTGGGAAAAAAACAAAGGTTTCATATATGCTTACACGATCGTTCGCCAAGCGGAGTAGCGCATCAGTGAAGCTCCTCGAAGCCAACTCGCGATGAATCTTCAGCCCGCAGTTTTGCGACAACGCATTTGCAAGCTAGGAACCAGTCAGCTATAGCCATAAACGAGAGAGTTTTCGCGCTCCAAGGAGCACAGTATCCGGCCACGAACCTCCAATGTATAGAGCTGGACGTTGGCATTCCGGTGAGCCAGTCTTTTGATCATCGCAGCCACGGCCTCTTTCGCACTATATCGCAACAATCAGCAACGGGTCGCTAGACGAGACTGAGATTCAGAGCTAGCCACGTACCCTGATTCCTCTGCACCAACTTTGTCACAGACATCCTAAACCACAAACCCCGAATCAGTTATGTCACAAGGCCGGAAATGCTATATGGCATCATGCAACCCACCAGAATATATTCCCAGTTCTCGGAGGTCAAATTCTCGTCCGTCGCCTTGGCTATACAGAGACAAATATCGTCAGTAAAACACATCACACAGGCAGATCCAGCGTGTCCCCAGGAGCTTTTCTCCAAGCTAGCCAGCTCCAGGGGTGCATGGTGTATCTGACGAAGCAGAGAACTGGTGCAACTTACCGACGGCCTCATCAAAGTGGTTCTGCTGCGCGCGAAACATCGCGAATGTATCTCCTCTAATCGTCGCAGGCAGTCACCGGGTGGTATGTGGGTTGTCGGAGAAGTCGGGCAGCACTCTTCAGCTTCTGACAAGCGGCTTGCCTTGTTTTCACGTCGCGGAAGTTCAGCGACAGGTTCCAATTAGACTTGAGTAGCTAAGATCACGCTCGCTTGCGAACCGCGGTTGTGTAGCCCGTAGCGATGGTCCAGCTTCGAATGCGGGGAGTCGACGACAGGAAAGGATGCGGCTGGGCTGCCGGTTGATGCAGGTGTAAATATCACAGAGACAGGGTTTTGGCAGGGATGGGTATAGCAAGCGACTGGTATTGCAGCGCTGGGCATCTGTTAATCGGGTCCTTGGGGATGATCAGGGACAGTGTTGGGGGTACCTAGTTATTGTGTACGGGCGGAACTCGTCACCTGAGTCAGCATATGACGATGGAGACCTGCGGAACTGCTAACTTCTAAGTTATTATTAGCTTGGACTGCCTGGATTCTTCTATATTGTGTCTGCCTGGTCAAGCTTCTAATTTCTCCTTCTTTTCTGCTTCTTTTCTACTCCTTTTCTGATCTTTTTTCTCACGCTAGTTAGAACTTCGACATATCAATGTAGGCTGCTACGTTTCTTCCCACATTGGTTTATCGGCTGTGGCTGAACATATCTCCACTACGGAGTACCTACGGAGTACTTTAGGCACAGACTCCCTAGAAATGACGGAGTTCGAAGCTCATTAGCTACTTACTTTCACCATAAGCTAACGACAACAGAATGCGCAAATAGAACTACAAGAAATTACATAGAGGCCAAGATCAAATACAGAGACAGTGAGCGGTAAAGCAGATATCACAGGCAACGTGCTCATGGATGGAGTCATTTTCATCGACAATCGATGTGAAGAATAATAAAGGAGTCTGGGTACATAAAATGGATTCCAGCGACGTACTGTAGTGTAGGTCGGGATCTAGAAGAAAAATCGGGAGTGACGGGGTATCTGAGCAAGACGTCAAGAGATATCAAGTACGACAAAATTAAACCGAAACATAGGAAAAAAACAAATGGGGTCGTTCATCAGCATCCTCTTCAAGCGCCTCCTTTTTGGGCTTTCTCTTGAGCGCGGCTGATACGAGCAGCCTTAACCAAGGGGGCGAGATGCGAGAGTGGTGCGCAGAGAGACATGAATGGGTGCTAAAAAGCGAAGTGTCAGTTATCTCTGCGAGAGCAATGGAAAAGAGGAACGAGTAAGTACCTTCAGTAGGTCATGCGCCGACGCCCGCTTCTCCGGGTCAACCTTCAGGGCAAAGTGAAGGAATTCGCGGAATACCGGGGATAGATTGTGCTCATCTTTGATGGTGGGCGTTCCGTTCGTAGCAATCAGATAGAGTGCTCGCAGCGGGGATTCTGTCAGGTACGGCGGCTCGCCCTCGATCATCTCGATGGCCATGATGCCTAAACTCCAGATGTCGACCTTACGGCCATACTCTTTGCGAGTGACAACTTCGGGGGCCATCCAGTACGGGGTACCGACCATGGTATTCCGCTTATTCTGCGAGTCGTTGATTTGAGCACAGAAACCGAAATCGGCTGGAGATTGTTAGCATGATTTCGACACAACGACAGGGCGAAACTTACTCAGCTTGATGTTACCATCCATTGCCAATAGAATGTTGTCAGATTTGATATCTCGATGAATGACACCTTTAGAATGCAAATGCTGGAGGCCGCTCAGAGTCTAGTCGAAATAGTCAGCATCCCAGTTTCATCTTGATACAAGATAACCATTCTGTACTCACCTCTCGGCAAACAGCTGCGATCTGTCCCTCGCTCATAATGTTGAAGGTAACCACGTCTGTCAAACTGCCACCTTCCATGTATTCCATCACAACCCAAAGATCCAGCCCATGCAAGAAGCTCTCTAAAAAGTTCACGATGTTCTTATGCTTGCTATCTTTCATGACCAAGATTTCGTTAATAATCAGGTCCTTCTTGGGTTGCAGGTCTAGATTCATCTGCTTGATAGCAACGCAGTTGTTGTTAGGATACTCATACGCTGTGTACACACCACCTGAAGCACCTTGGCCGATTTTGTTGAAGTTGTGGTAGATCTGGGTGGGATCGGCAGGGTTGCAGATTAGCATCAAGCGTGCCCGAATATCCATGGCGCTGCTCTGTCGTTGCTGGCGCTGTCTAGGTCTAGCAGCAGGTGGAGCGCGCGCGGTAGGGGACACCCCAGACGAAAGATCTGGCGCCGGAGCAGTGGTTGATGCGGAGGCAGCTGGAGGCTGCTGTGCTTGCTGGCGTTGGGTGCGATTCCGTTCCAAAGTCTGCTGGGCCGCGGCCATGACTTGCTCCTGTTGCCGCTGGTATTGTGTAGGGGATGCGATGACATTGGGGACGTTGGGGACGCTGGCCGTAGGGGTGCCATTTCGGGAACTGGAGCGGCTGCGATGGGGCGATGATGGCAATGGCTCGGATTCCGGGATAGTCGGAGTGCCAAATGTAGGAGCGTGGTTCTCCGGAGCAGTTCGCTGCGGGGATGTGTACGAATTTGAGATCGGGGGTTGAGGAGGAGGGCGGGAGGGGGTCATCCCGGTAGGCGGTTTCGGGGGAGCACGATGCGGCACCATACCGCTCAGTGGAGGAGATATGACAGGCATGCCTGCCGGAGGTCCGCGAGGAATTGGCGGAGGCGATCGCGGATTCTCGAAACTGCTTTCGTGATTTTGCGGGAATCGTGGACTTCCTGGTGGCGATGTTTGTTCTCGTGGGCTGGTGGCTTGCGCAGCTTGAGCAGCTTGCGCATTGTCGAACTTGTGCCAGACTTCATCATCGCTGTCGCCACGGGTGTTCTTCTCGTAGAATCGCATGATATCCATCATAGTCTGCGGGTGCTCCTCCTGCTCCTTCTTCGAGATACCGTTCTCCTGTAGTAGTCGCTGCCATTCTTTGGGCAGACCGGTGAATTGGCCGGTCTGATTGTCGTAGCCGACGTGGGTAACGTGGACCGGATTCTCTGGAGCCGAAATTTTCATATTGCGACCGGGGCTTCCCAGCATACTGTCCACGAATCTGGAGAAGCTGGCCTTTTTGCTCTGTCTCGTTCGGGGAGCCGGAGGATTGCCATCGTCGGAATGCTGCTTGCCGGGGTTCGGGGGCCTTTCGGTCTCGCGATGAGCGAAGGAATCCATTCGTTGCGTCAGAGTGGTGAAGCTCGCTGACTGGCGCAGTGAGTGGCGTCCGCGGTTATCGGGGCTGGTGTGGTTCGAGCGCAGTGCGGGCTTTTGCTGGGAGTGAGGATCGGTCTCGACGCTATTCTCATCCAATGCACTAAGCATGCCCCGCGTTTCGTGAGGGCCGTTCAATTCATCCGAACTCTGCTCGTTGTAGGAAAACCGGTGGGAACTTCGGGTGCGAGACCGGGAGGTCAGATTGGAGAAGAAGCCACCTGATTCGTCGTTGGAAGGCGATGGACCGCCACTGTTCTGATCCAGAGACGACGAGGAGGAACCTGGGAATTGAGCGTTGGATTGCGATCGATTATGCTCGCGACTACCGCTGGGAGAGGAACGTGGATAAACGGGGGCGGAGGGGGTACGTTTCAACGATGTGGCACTCTGATGGCTCCGAAGAATGCGCGAACTGAAGCTAGGGGGATCCTTGTGGAGTTTGCTAGAAGTTCGACGGAATTTCAATGGGAAATTGTCCTGATTCATGGTGGGCGGATTTCTGTCTCTACACGAGACAGATTGAAATTGGGCCGAGGAGGGGTCAGATGCAGTTGTTTTATTTTTCTGGACCAACCAAGTTCACGGACCTGAGGGGAATTTATGGTCCGCGGAGAATAACCGGGTCCCCGAAGGTTCTTGACGATGGATGGAATGGAAGATTGGAAGGGAAGTCTGAAGAGAGGAGGTTTAGCACGTGGAGTGGGAAAAGGAGTCGGGGGTGGCTGGGCGGTTTGACAGGTTGAAGGGTATAGGGAGATCTAACAACATCTAAAGTCGACTCTATCAGACCGAGTCAGAGACACTTACAGTCCTCATTTAGGATGTTATAAGAATAGAACGACCATAGAGTCTCAGATTTCTACGGAGTACCCCGTTTATTATTCCTTACACTTAACGGCTTCTATACAGATCCACTATCTTTAAATAACTAAATATTAATTGTACCTTTCTGGACCTCCCCAATACACCACGGAGTACTAGCTCTCCAGCAAACAGACCAGAAGTACCTATCACTCCCCTTTTGCCCCTGGCAGGTAGCCGAATACGTCCTAAAAGGGTTCAACCGCCCCGGGTTGGACGGGTCAAGTGTGACAGATGCAAGCCAATATCACTCGGCACATTGGAATCCCTGGGCATTGGGCATCCTTAGCCCTAGAAGAACAAAAGCACAGTCGCACAGATCCCTCCTGAGCAATTAATTACAACAGACGGCCATTGTAACCGATTTGCTGAGCCACCGGCTTCGGGCCATTTTTCTTCCATATGCGCCACCGTTGGTTACCTTCGATATCTCGTTTGCACCTCACACGTTGGGCAAACACTAGGTTGATTAGAGTCCGTTTACACGGGTTCTACTATCCTCCTCCATTTCCCCATTCCATTTGACTCGGATCGGTATATACCACTTTCCATGATGTGGCTTTAGCGTTCCCCATATTAGTTTCAGATATTACCGGTGGTGAGATCGAATGAGACGTGGTCCGGGCTCTAAGGGCCTTTTTCAACTGGCCAACTTCCATGCGAAGATTGACCATTATCTAAACATCCTCTTCACCTCACTGTCGTTGGTCCAGTCAAGCGGGGTCTGAGATTTGGCCTAAAACCGGACCGTACGGTATTGACAGAGGCTGATCGCATGACTTTCATGGAGCTTTCTGCGCATTCTCATCTCACTTTAATAGGTTGACTTTGATATCTGCCCTCGGGAATTACAAAAAAAAATTAGAGATCCACAGTAACATATATGGCCACGCAAGCTAGCCCCATAGGAGCATATATTTATAGCGAGCAATATCAGGAAAGATTGTTCACCATTATCATTCTTTGATTCATACAAATAGTATCGGGAATTCAGGTCTACAATATATCAGCAAAAACATGGTCTATTTGGTTAACAAAGGTTGTCGATCCAATAATCTCTCTAAACACTTCCCCACTATCTTCACCACTTTCAATCAGCTCTGTATACTCCAATATCTGCGACCGTCATTCACCCCCTAAACGGATGGAAATAGTGATATGAAAGAGTTGTGTGAATGGGCCCGACGTACTAACTCCTCATTGCGGAAATCAGGTCATAGTGCAAAGGGAAGGAGGCGGAAACATGCCTGTTCCGTTTTGAAATGGTCCCGACGTACAGATTCACTACAGAGGCGCGCAGGAACAAGTCCACTGTCGTTCATGGTTATTCTCATGTGCGTAGGAGAACAAACTTCGAATTTCGGGGTTAAGATTCACCGTCCGGTTTAGAGCTGTAAATAGTAGAACCGCTGGGATGTACCCTCTTCATGGGGCACACTAGCAAACATCTAGTATCTGGCAAACGCCTCCTGATCATATAAGACATCTAGATCAGGCGAATAAAGCAGTCTTGCAGTACAGCAGCCGTGTTAAGGTCTGCATCGGTAAATAGCGGTGCAGGTAGAAAATGGTAAATCAGGAGTGTAGCTGGGTAGTACTCAATAGCATACGCTTGATCGGAGGGTTTTCTAAATCACTGATAGAGTAGGGAACAATTGGCGAGGGTAAGAATACCTTGCCTGCCCTAGTATGTGATTCAACTCTAGAAATGTGGTTTGTATGTTTGACGTTAGCTGAAGTGAAGTCTAGCTTTTCAAGGATAGTAGATATATCACAGATATTTACTTGTACTCAATCTCCTTACGTGGTATACTATGTAAACATGGTTATCATAGTACAGTCTCTGTAAATCTCCTCGGATATGACTCGAAAATCAGAAGGCTGTAAAGATTTCTCACGTAGCGACCACTCGAGCCTTCCTCTTGTTTACTTCAACTATTCTTCTCACACACTTCTCCCCTCCACCTTTCTTCACTTCAGTTTACTCTTCTATCAAGCTACAGCCTCTGTATCACACACAGTCTAGTTTACACTTCATCTGTTTGGGCTCTAGACTCTTAACGATTTCAGCGACACCCAGCGTGGCGACTTGTCTTTTTGGGCAGTCTCTTGTCTGGCTTGTCACGCATCTGCTGCAATACTTGAGTTCACATTTTTTTTTCACTTGCGTAAGTCTATTTTTTTCACTGGTCTTTTCATCTGAATCCTAACTTCTCTTCATTACGTTTATTGACCATCGCATTATCCAGGTACTTTCCTTTCCTATAAAACACAGCATTATGGAGGGAATTACATCCGAGGCTGCCACATTCAGCTATTTGTTCTTGTCCGGTGATGAAACATGTAAGGCAACGGACCTCGCTGCATTTCTTCCTCGGTGGCTTAGCGAGGTCAATGAGAATAGGCTGATTCCCCCGGGTATCCCAGAGCTACTAACTCATCTTTTACTCCCATTTGGAACACGTGATATCCTGGAACACATCGCGAAGCTCCGAATCCCTGACTCTTTGACCGATGTACAGAAGTGGATGGTAAAACTTCAAGTCCTTGTGGATAACAAAGCACACGAAAGGCTGCTGCAGAAGTTGGAATCTATCCCGGATCAAATGATATCATTCGAAGATATCTGTGGACAATCTAACAGTAAGGACATTGTTTGATCCGAACCTCTGGAAATGATATTGACATACGAAAACTCAAGCAGCTAGGACGAATGATAACCTCGCCGTTGACCCTAGGCGCAACCTCCGGTTTGACCATGACATACGAGATGTGATGATTCGGGGCGACAAAGACGAAATGAGACAGTATCAAGACGTCTTTTACGGGACTGGCTCCGTTGCCTGGACGGTTCGATCTCCTTACTGGAATATCGCCTTGGCCACTGACGATGAAGGTATTCGACTTCTCCCGGATAATGTCTTGGACAGAGTCCTTCCCAAATGGAGACAAATTCTCACCGGGGAGACGATCCCGACCCCGAAATATGGCGTTATCGATTCTTTTCGCGCGTGGTTGGCTAGTGAGGAGAAAAAGGCCAGTGATCTCGGCAAACCTTGGCCCGAAACCCCCGTCATTCCCGTCTCTTCAGCCCCGAAGCCCAAGTTTGTAAGTCCCAAGACTCCGGATCGATCTCGCCTTCGCGCCATGAATTCGAGTCGTTTCTCTCCATTTGAATCTAGCCCCAATGCCCCCAACAATGAGCAAACTGAATTGCTCCGAGACATACTCACGGAACTTAAAGACTTGAAAAATATGATCAGCCAAAATATCGGAAGGAAGCAAGAGTGCGAGATTGCAGGAAACCAACCGTATGGATCTTGGCAACAGAGCTTCCATCCCATTCCTTCCATGCCTCAAGGAATGCAACCAAATTATCTCGTGCCGCAACAAAGTCCATTCGTCGGTGCTCAATATCTACCTCCCCTTCCTCACCCGGAGTGGGAACGCTGGAACTCCCAGTACCAAGGCCCGGCTACCATGCCCGACCCGGGACCTGGTTCAGCTTCTCATCCCTAAGCCTGCCCATAACCAAGGAAGGGGAGACATTCATGTACGATTTGATGTGGGGCTCTTTGACCCCAATCACTACAGAGAGAGTTGAAAGTGAGGATGAGACGGTACGTAGATGAGCAGCTGTTGCTATGTTTTATGTTGGACATTGAGGACTACACCTCCTCGCTGTATCATGTCAGATTCACAAGTATGCGTGTCTGTTAGGTTCAATCAATCGAACTCAACTTCAGTCTATTGCTGGTCGTATGGGACTGATCCCCCCCGCTTTTAGTGAAGAGAGTTGACCATCTGCACAGTGACGAATCCGCATGACAACCAACTCTTTAGCTTCTTTCAATCTCAAATATCAGTGGAGCTAGGCTGATCTTACGCACAGATCCTTCTCAGATGATTGGCTTAATATCGTCCGCAGTCGGTCCACATGGGTGCAGATCATCCCGGAGTAAACAAAGATCAAATCACGCAAGTTAGTGGGATATGATGTATCCCAAATTTTATTTCGCTGAAGATATCAATGAACAGAAGGTGAAATGGAAATTGCAAAATCAACTTCACTAAAATTCACTAGTGTCAAGGGTAGGTGCTCTCTCCCTTGCTGATGAGAATGTGGAACCACGCACTTGCGAATAACACGTCCCGTTCCTGCCGAGAGACCTTTAGCTTCTAGACCTTGAGGGCGGAAGATCATCGGTGTAACTCATGTGGGGGATATGCAGAAGATTCAATGGAGTCTAAACGCAACGTGTATTGACTGTGCCTTCCACAATGCGAGACATCACATAGATTCAGACAAAATCCAGAGTTAGTTACAGTAAGCAGATGCTGTAAGCATCAAGGTAGCTCTTTTGCAGAGACCACTTTTTATTTTGATGATCTACCGATCAGTAATTAGCGCATCCCTTTGGGCGCCGACTCCAGTTAGACTGGACTCAATACCGACATGCGCCTTACATCGCCCAGATAAGATGTACAGGGGTTAACAGTCGGTGATTGGATTAGCTGTCAATATGCGAAATGGGCATACTTCGGGACCTAACCTGGGGGAGCTGCGAATGGTGTAGACCGGATCAACATAAATTGGACGTGATTCCTCCTTCCCAGGGTGATTTTTATTCACAGCCCGATTCCCCCTTCTGTCTATACATCATGTTTGGTCTCATTCCGCTGCTATTTACTGCACTCGCCAGCGCATACCCTAACAGGGGCCCTTGCACAGGCGATTGTTGGGCTCATGACCCAGCCATGATCCAGCGTGTGTCGGATGGGAAATACTACCGCTTTTCGACGGGCACCGGTGTCAGCATTCATAGCTCGCCGTCCGTGAAGGGTCCATGGACGGACCTTGGCTCGGCGTTGCCAGATGGGTCTAAGATTACCCTCGATGGTGTGGACAGCAAGAATATCTGGGTAAGAATGACCTGAAAACGCAACTGGGAACAATATCAAGGCCAATGGCTAACATGATTCACCTTATAGGCCCCTGATGTCCACTACCAGAACGACCAGTACTACATGTACTATGTCCTGTCACAGATCGGCACCCAGAATTCACAGATCGGTGTCGCAACATCCAAGACCATGGATCCAGGGAGCTGGACAGACCATGGCTCCGTTGGTCTCCCTGCAAACGACAACTACAACCGTATCGATCCCGCCTGGATCAGCATCGGCGGCAAGAACTATATGAACTTTGGTTCCTTCTGGGGCGATATCTTCCAGGTCCAGATGGACACTCCTCTGCAAGTTGGCGGCGCAACTCCCTATCAAATCTCGTGGAACGCTACTCTCAACCACCGCGAGGAGGGTTCATACGAGTTCAAGCACGGCGACTACTACTACCTGCTCTACTCTGCTGGTATTGCGGGCAAGTACACAAAGACATTCCCAGCTGAGGGTGCCGAGTACCACATTCGTGTTTGCCGATCCAAGACCGGTCTTGGTGACTTTGTATGTTTCCCGTCTTTGTTCATTCGTCAAGACACGTTCTAACATTTGAGTTACAGGTTGATGCAGATGGAAAGTCCTGCAAGGAGACCGGAGGCACCATGCTCCTCGCAAGCCACGGCCAGGTATTTGGACCCGGCGGCCCTGGTGTTGTCAATGACAAGGACCTCGGTGTGGTCATGTACTACCACTACTACCCCCTTGCCACCAAGCAGAGCACCGATGTCTCCGACAACGCGAACTATAGGTACGCCTGGAACGTTCTCGGCTGGAAGGACGGATGGCCTTTCGTCAAGGCCACTTAATGCACATACTTTTCGTGGGGAGCCCGCGGGGCTGATACATATCTTTTTACATTCTTCTCTTGTCGATGATTGGGCTCATATACTTTTGGGGGGTATTGACTTGTTTATTCGATACCCATACCTTCTTGATATCTGTCATGATGCACTTCCTCTGTGTCTGGCAACTCTTAATTATATAATATTGGTCCTATTCTTATTCATATGGGTCAATTTCGGCATTGCCCGACCCACATGAAGCATTCTACAAGGACATAATTTACCTATGCGCTGAGACAAGTCTATAAATTCTCGCTACATTTGGATCTACTCTAAACTACTAGCCTAAGCGACTAACTTGGAAAACCTGTTTGAAGACCTGCATGCTTAGCCCCGGTGCTTCCACCCCATTTTCTACAAGAAAGTGAACACAAACTTGTTCGATTTTGGTTCAAGCTTTCCTTCCTTGAGCGGTTGAATCAACATGTCTATTGCAGCCCTTCCTGTAGACGCAATGGTCGCAATCTGTGATCATCTAGAACTGTCATATTATTTTGCACTAAGACTTACCTGCCGAGCAACATACAATAACACAATAGAGATATCTGCAAGGCGGTGCTACACCAGTATCTCTTTGCTTCTCACGAGTGACAGTCTCTGTCGGCTAGAAGAGATCGCTGCTGATGATATTCTTCGAACATTCGTTCAGAAAATTTGGATTGTGCCAGCCCTATTCGAAGGCAAGGAGAAAATGACAGATTCCCGCTTCGCGCATTCCAAGTTTGGGAATGGGGCACGGAAGGGTTGGAAGGGGAATGCGGCTGAGCTCCAGGCTCGCTATATCGCATTTCAGGCTATAGAAGAGGACCACCGCGCCATATCAAAGTCCTCTGCCCTCAGAGATACCCTAGATAGATGCCTGCCACGATTTGAAAATGCGGTCGTCTTTGGTCTGCAGTCTGATCCGATGGAACGTCTCCTCAATCTAGAAAAAGGAAGCTATATTCGTTGCCTCGGCCTACCTGAATTGAGGAATCAACTGAGTTGCACTGGTAGACCGTCAACGTGGTTCGATGGATGTTACCTACCAGTAATGGGCAATGCGCATGCCTTTGCTTTTTCCGCTCTTGTGGAAACAATTATCAACTCCAACCGAGAAGTTCTCGCACTACACACATGTCGCGGATATTACTGTGGGATGACAATGCGAAACCTTCAACTGACGGAGTCACAATACAAACGCTTGCTACCCCTCCTACGGGAATTAGAATGCCTTCATATGTGTCTCCGTCTCCCGAGGAAACAAGAGGATCTCGATAAAAGTGGCTTCTGTTTCCTTCTTGATATCCTTGTTGCTGTAGCACCAACGCTTAAGACGCTGGTGTTTTTTCAATGGCACCCAAAATATGAACTGAACCCACGATACTTTGAAGAATTATCCCGGGGTCTCCACTTCTCGCAGCTCCAGGATCTTAGCCTTCAGTCGATTGAAGTCACAGTCAATACTCTCAAGGCGTTTCTACAGAGCGCGGCTGCGACTTTACGGCGAATGACTCTGAAGTCAGTAGGGTTAAGAGATCCAATCACCTCAGCGCCAGATCTAGGACCTATGGACCGAGAAAGTCGAATTCGAGACAGAAATCTCCGCTTGTTATAATGCCGAGACGGCGACTGTTTCATTTGATACCTGGATCCAACAGCGTCGACTAGAGATGTCGACATGGTGCCCATTCGATTTACCGGGGACGAATTATGGTAAGTCATCCAGCTATGACTAGAAGCTTCTGTTAACCTTTGACAAGAACCGAGAGTTGGGTCAGATGGATTGGCTGAGAAACCAGTTGGCTTCGCATGTTTCCCTAGACGCGACAAATCTCGAAAATAAGTCTAAAATTATTATATATGACATGTAGTTCAATGCCGTTGAATATCACGATCCCCATATAAATGTAGCCACAGTGACGTGCATCATCAATTGGCCACTTGCCGCCACGTGCGAAATCCAATCCTGGGATATAAAATCTAAATCTAAAGTTACGAAGTGATTGATTCACCTGGGCATTTGAGATTGCTTATACAATGCTTGATTGGATTTCGGATGGCGTTATAACACGTATCCGAATGAGAGCGAAGAACAGCTAAGCTATTATTGTTGTATCTCAAATTCACCTGCGCAAATCCAAGATCAATAACTATTCATTATCAATTCCTAAAGAAAAGAGCCCAAGGCGTGAAAAGGTGCAAAAGTGTAGGCGCGGGCTCGGAGAAAACATCCCCGGAGATTCGAGCTGGCCTTTTCCTGTACTTTCTGGATTGTCCGGGGTTCTCGACCTTTCTCTCACCTCTCACCTCCACCTCCACCTCTCACCTCCTCTTCTTCTCTCACCTCTCTTCCTCTTTTCTTTCAGGTGGCTCCTCTCTTGAGCCCCTGTATCTTTCTTTTTTGATTCTCCGCGCTTCGTCGGTCCAAATTGCTATTGCATTTTCCTGAATTGCATCCGCATCTCCTGAAAAGAAACCCTATATATCCTACTCAATTACGAAAGAAAAGGATATACTTTTGCCTGTAAGTTATTCCCAAGTCCTTGTCATGCCATTGATTGCACCCGGGGTTTACGGTGATCTGTCCTGATCTGTCTTGATCCATCGTTATTGCATACTGACCCGGCCCGTCTTGATTGCAGCATTTCGTGCATAGCCCATTTATCAACCTTGTCTCCAACCCCGATTTACTCCGTCAACCCCCATTACTCCTAATGGCTCTTGAAACACCTACTA